TTTGCAAGGATTAACTGTCAGGCGTTTGCTTGACTTCTGTGCTTTCTGCTCTGCCCTGTTACTTTCTCCCTAGCTATTGCAATAAACCTTCTAGTTGGAGGAGTAAACTACCTTCTGAGCTTTTCTTCTCAGTCCGCTGAAATGTACTGTCGAATGTCTTCCTTTGTAATTGGAATTTGCTCAGTTTGCAATGAACCCTATTCCCGTTGAGAAGCCACTCAGCAATGTCATGCGAATCTGAACCCAGCGCTCAATATGGTCTCCAAAGACGATTGCATGTCCATATCTGTATTGCATGCACATTTCAGAAGTTGCAAGTCATCATAGAAGAATATGGGAGAAAGAGATAGAGGAGAGAAGAGACATAGAGGAGGAGAGAGAAGAGTTACATTAATAACCAATAATACATGAATGTCGGTCTTCACTTCCCACTTTCTCTTCGGGCCTCTCCCCTATCGCCACCTCAGCAACGCATGCAGTCCTCTGATGACCAATGACATAGTCACGGTGCAGATCTCAGCAGAGCGCACATCCTCCTTTCAGAGTCCAAGACGAGCTATGGAGGATGGCGCTGCCTTTCGTCACCCGTGCAGACCAGTAGTAGATCAATCACATTGGCGCCGGGTAAGTCCAGGTAAGCTTCCCCTTGAACTTCTCGTCATTCTCACAGACTGGATCCTCCTCCTCCTCGACCGACCTCATCACCTACAACTACAGCTATGGCGGCTATGGCCGCCTCTCCAGCATGACCTCCAACAAGGCTGGCGCCCTCCAGCAGCATCTGGTGCCAGCAACTCCGTACACCAGCCTCACATGTGGCAACTTGGCCACGAGCCAGCGCAAGGCAGAATGAGCCTCCCCTCGGCCAGGTCGTCTTCTGACAGCATTGACCTGCGTTGACCAGCATCCTCCTGGACCGTATCGATGGCCAATATTTCCTGAAGTCTACAGCCTGGATGCAATGCTGTCCCAGATGTGGCGTGTCCCTGATGGAACTGGAATCTCCTGGAAACCTGCAGAAAACCTTTGATGTGCATCTGATCTAAGGCCGTTGTTGATTACTGGGAGACTTTGACTTTTGAAACGTTTTTCACCTTTTTGCAGTAGCAGATGCAGACCCCAGGGCTCAATCCCGAGCCCTTACCCTACAGATGTACAGTATCTGTGTCGACCCCAAGGCTTGAACCCACGACCTGTGTATTTGCAACAGTTAGTAGACTGTCGTAGGGTCCGTAGGTAGCAGGGGTTCGATCTGTAGATCTGTAGAATAGAAGTCTGAGTTCCAGAAGTCTTAGCTGTAGTCCTTCTAGAAGGTCGATCAAGTGGGCAAGTAAGCAAGTGGTGGACCAACTGCAGTACGTTCGCAGTACGATAGCGGTAGGATAGCAGTGAGTCCCCATTCAGTCAGCGGTAAGGTCCAGTCAGTCCCAGTCCGGTCCAGCAAGTACCACGAGGGACTGTGAGCACCATGGGCCGATGGAAAAGGGCAGACCAACGAGCTTCAGAAGTATAAATCAAGAGGCAGCGGCCAGTCATTCATTCATTCCTGCGTGAGCCATGCGGAAGCGCTGCCACAGCGACTTGTGCAAGGAGGTCTGCAGTGAGCCCGGAGCTGAAGTGGGCGAGAGAGAAGGAGCGTAGCATAGCGATAGGGTAGAAGCGGCCATAGCCGCCATAGCTAGAGTTAGTGTGTAGTGTGTGTGTGTGTAAGTGCAGAGTATCGCGTGTGGGATATCCAGGGTGATCCGGTGAATGCGAACAGTGAGTTGTTTGGGCGCTGAGTCACCATACCCATCGAAAGTGAACTTGTATCTGGACTGTGTTTCTGGCGACCATATCTCTGAGTTCTGAGTGGGCGCTTGTCGCCAGTTTGCTGCTGCGCCTGTTTGCATACATGTAAAGTGTGAATGAAAGGGAGTCTGATTGCATTGGTATCGGAGCTGGTACCCGCTATTCCATGCGCTGCATCGTGTGCAAGGAGTGATGCGCCATAGCAGAGGTGGCCGCCGAGAGCAGTAGTCCGTAATAGCGGACTTGGAGGTTGAAGAAGCCGCTGCGCACCTGCAGAGAAGACCACGACGAAGAAGAAGACAGAGAGAGAGAGAGAGAGAGAGAGAGAGAGAGAGAGAGAGAGAGAGAGAGAGAGAGAG